CCGGCTCGGCCGCGGACCGCAGGCGGGCCCCTGTCACTCCCTGTGGGGGGCCCTCAGTTTGCCCGTCTGTGGACAGAGCCCCCCACCCCCGACGCCGCCTCTAGAGGATCCGGGAGCTGAGGTTCGACACGGCACTTACAGGAGGATCTCCTGCTTGGTCAGGAACGTCAAGTCCTGGAAGGCAAAACGGGAGGGGTTCAGCGAGCCTCCCGGAGGCCGCGCCAGCTCTGTCGCCCGCCCCGGGACCCCGCTCCCCAGCGCAGGCCCGCGCGCAAACTCCCCGGGGACCGGCGTCCCGCGCACCTGGTACTCGGCCAACAGCTCCTTGCTCAGGCGACTGCCCGAGCCCCCCATCGTCGCGCCGCGCGCACAGCTCCGCCAACTTGCCTCGGGGCGCCGGCAACTTTTTCACTTCCGCCCTCGGGCCGCGTCACCGCCCCGTCCCCGCGGCAACCGCTCCTGGGGCCACCGCCCCCGGGCCCGCCCCCCTCCTTAAAGTGCCCAGGCGCTCCCGGCCCGGTTCCGCCGGCCGGCTCCCCGCTTCGGGCTGTCCGCGGCGAGCTGGAGGCGGGGCCCGGAGCGGGGCCGGACGCTCCGGGGCGGGGTCCAGGCTGCACGGCCCCGCCTCCTGGCTGGGCGGGACGAGCCCCGTCGCGTGCGAGCGGACTGGCTGCGCATGCGTTCGGGACGCCACAGCCTCGCCATGGCCCGGGTAGGCGCTTGCGGCAAGTGTCGCGTTGCGTCGTTCTCCACTGCTGTCGGTGGTGGCGGCAGCCTTGGGCGCGCCAGGGGCCCAAGGGAGGTACCTGGAGCCAGGAAATCCGGGAAAGCTCGAGACTCGCTACGTGGCCGAAGGCGGCCAAGCCGCGCATTGGCGCGGCGACGACTTTTTCACCCAGACGCTGCCACTGCGCCCGCGCCGCCCGTGTTGCAGCCCGCATGCCACCTCCAGAAATGACCGGAATCTTGCGGCCCACTGAGGCTGTGCGCTGAGGGTCTGCAGACTGCGGGAGCCGTGCATAGTGATCTTCGATTTTCACAAGAGCCCTGCAAGGTAGGTTCCCATTTTACAAATGTGGAAAACAGGTCCGGGGGAAGGGTTCAACTGACTTGTTTAGGCTCCGGCATTTAGAAAGCGGTCACCCCAGTCTAAGGTTCTTCTCACGGCTTCCCAATCCTGTAGACCTCACTCGAGCCGACCCCGCGCCCAGAGCTCTTGTTCGCTCTTGTCGCCTCTCAACCCCTAGGACAATGCTTGGCCCGGAGTAGGCTCTCAACAAACTGGATGCATGAATGCATGAACGAACCTCCACTATTCCAGAAGTTGAGGATCCCAAGCTGAGAGAGGAGGTGGAGGTGAGATTAATTCTTTTGTTTTCAGCTTTATTGATGTATAATTGACAACGTTGTAGGGATTAGTTCTTGATTCTCCTGATTCATTCTACTTGCTGATCTTTGTAAAGTCTAGATCTGATCATGGTGATTTGAGCTTAAAACTAATAAATGGTTAAAAACCGATATACTGGCCCTCTGAAATCTGACTTCAGCCTCTCTCTGCCCTCTCCTCTTGGCTTTCTGGGTTCCCGCCACAATGGGCTCTCTGTTCCTCTTCCATATTAGCCTCTGGGAGGCCTTTCCTGGTTCCCTAGAGTAGATTAGAAATCTTATACTTCCAGAAAAGCCTGTGCTTCTCCTTGACAGCACTGTCTCATGTTGGCAACTTATGTTTACTTGGGTGTTGATTGGGTTAATGTCCTCACCACCCCCATCCCCGCTAGACTGTAAGCTCCATGAAGAGCTACGAGAATCGTGATCTGCAAGATCTGATAGGTGGCAGTTGTTGAGTAAATGAGTGACCGTAGCTTCCCAAGCACTCAATAAGGTGTTCATCTGAGAGTGGCTTTAGGGAAGACTCACTATCTCAAATGGGAGTCCGACCATTGTGGAAATAATTCCGTTCCAAGAAATGGAGGCTGCAAAGCAGTGAGAACACCAAAACCAGTCAAAGTGAGTGGTTCCATCCCAACCTGATCCTTTTGACAGCAGGCTCTTTCTGTATAAGAAATCGGTTAGTATAATGATAGGCAAAGAACAGGAAGCTGTCATAGTGTCCCCTGTACTAGACTGAGGGGAGGGAGCACCGGCCAGCGAAGGCCAGTCCCTGGACTCTGTGGTGAGACTGTATCTCTTCGCAATGAAGATGTGGGAATTGGCCCTGTGCCATGGGGACCAGCTGTGACATAGATCTCTCCGCCACCTCACTCGGTGCTGAACCCTTCATTAAACAACCTTCTGGTTATAATTTTGCTTCCTGGTAGATTTTTGTACAGAGGAGGGACTATACTGATTAGCCAATAGGAACATTTCGTGCTCTTTGGCGTGTTTCTCACTATACGCTGTTGAATAGGCATTCTGAGTCTGCTTTGCTGTCCTGTCTGTGCTTGACCAGCTCTTGAAACAGTGTGAAACTGAGTTGCTGAAATACTTTTTTTTTTTTAATTTAAATTCAGTTAGCCAACGTATAGTGCATCAGCTAATATACTTTTAAAAACAGCTTCTAGTGTTTCTTGTTGTGAAATTATTTTATTTCTTAGTTGGAGCTCTTCAAGTTTTGTTCATAACTACCAACTCTTGGATTTGAATTCCACTTTTTTTTTTTTTCCCCAAGACATCTTTTCCCTATTTATAATATTATTTCCTTCTTCCTGTTTCCCCTGGGACACGAGGTAGGAGAGCCACACCAGGTTTCCCCGAGGGGGTGACATTTGATCTGAGACCTGAAGGGGTCAGCCCTGTGAAGAAAATCTGGGAAAAGGGTATATTGTAGGCAGGAAGCACAGAAAGCAAGGCCCTGAGCTGGAACAAGTTCAGTAAGTGAGGAGCAGAGTAGGCGAGGGGAAGAGTGGAATGAGAGGAGGCGAACGAGGGAGGCACACCTAAGCCTTATGGACTTTATTCTAGGGGCTCAAGGTCACATCCCTAGTGAGTCATAGAGCAGGAATTCAAACACCTGGTCAGCCAGTAAGGCTTGATCTCTCACCTTTGTCCCAGGATGATACCCAACTCAACAAGCTTGTTGTGAAGGTAGGTCACCTGAGAGAACTTAGAAAGCCCCCAGCCATGCCTGGCACAAGATAAACATGTGACCAGTGCTCCCTTGTTCCTGGTTTTCATGGAAAGGTTTGATCCTCTCACGTGGTCACTGCTGATTGATCACTGTAAGGTAATTCTTCTTTATTCACAGGTAATGCTTTGTGCCTACTAGCTCACTTTAATGTAAATATGACTGTGCCCACTTTCTATTGATCCATATGTCTTTGCTCGTATTTTTAGCCTCCTGGTATCATCTTGGTCCTGGGTCCTTGGTCCTAGCCCTTGGCTTAAAATGTTATTCCATATTTGTATCTAATCCACCCTTACCCTTGACCTCCACGTTTGACTGTCAGCTGCCTGTACCACTTCTCAGATGCTCAGGCTGCATCTCAAGCTCAGTAATCAGAACTGAACTCTCGATCCCCCCCTTCTTCTAATCAATCTACTCCCACCCCCACCCCGCCCTCAGCTCCTCCATCTCTCTAAAGGCCACTACGGTGTACCTCGTTCCTGAAGCTGAGACCCCCCCCAGGTCTTCCTGGTGCCTCAGTCCCCCTAGCCAGCTTGTCAGCAGGCCCTGTTGGCTTGGCCTTCCAAACAGGACCTGCGTCCCCTGCTCTCTGTCGCCGTTCCCACCTGTGCCGTCCAGTCACCCTCTCGCTCACCTGGCCATCAGAGTTGCCTCCCAAATGGTCTCCTTCCCCTTTGCTCCCCTACATCCCCCTTCCACACGGCAGTCTGAAAAAAGTTTATGAAGTATCACATGGTGCTTCTGCTTAGAACCTGCCAGTGATTCCTTATTCCATTTAGAATAAAACCCAGGCGCCTGAGCATGATGCATAAGGGCCTGCAGCGAATCTGGCCCCTGCTTTCCTCTCCAGCCTCGTTTGCCCCCCTCCCCTTGTTGGCCATGCTCTAGTTAACACTGGCCTTTCTGTTCTCGGAACAGGCCAAACACCTGCCTGACTCAGACCTTGGACTTGAGCTTCCTTTCCTAGAACACATTTTCCTTGGCTCCTCATTGCAGGTGTCCGCTCATTTTGCATGTCTTTGCTCAGCTGTCCCCTCAGAGAGCTGTAACCCCGCCCTATTCTTGAAGTACAATGCCCTGGTCCCACGTTTTATTAGTTATCCTTTATCGTATCACATGTTTGTTTTCCACAGAATGCCAATACCATGAGCAGTTAACATGTTCATTTCGCTCCTTGTCTGACTCTACCACGGGATGTAAGTTCCATGACAATAGGGGCCCTTTTCATCTTATTCGCTACTGTGCCCTCATTGCCTCATACGTAGCGGTTACTTTTTTTTTTTTTTAAGATTTTATTTATTTATTTGAGAGAGAGAGAGCACAAGAGGGGGGAGGGTCAGAGGGAGAAACAGACTCCCCACTGAGCAGGGAGCCTGATCCTGATCTGGGACTCCAGGATCATGACCTGAGCTGAAGGCAGTCGCTTAACCAACTGAGCCACCAGGTGCCCCACTTT